TTATGGCAGCTGTCCCAGCCCAATCTACTGGGATATTAAATATTTACAGTCAATGCATGTATATAGAATTACCCCACTCACCCCCCCCACCCACCCCATGATCCAACCCCCCACTCCCATACGTGCATAGTCTCTCACACACTCACGCTGGTTTTGTGCATCGTAGACAATCCATTGCCTCCAACTATGACAAATATATTCCTAATCCTAATCCGAACCTCAACTCTAATCCCACTCTGATTAGAACCCTGACTCCACGAGTATAGATAGACAGGAACCCTTACACACACACAGACCTATTTGCTAATATATGTGCTAATATGAATATATATTTATATATATGTATTTTATATGTTTGAAATCAGAACAATTAAAAAAAAGAAGAAATTCTAGGATCAGTGATTTCCTACAAACTGATTATAATTTCCCAGATTCTGAATATATTCAGTATATATTTCCTATTCATTTATCCAACACATGTATATTTCCCTGTTTTGAAGGAAGAACACAAGGAAATTCACGGGTTCAAACTTACAGTAACTGCCACGTACTACATGCCAGATCGTGACACTTTGCAGTACTTTTATGCAAATATACACGGCTCCACAGTTTTTCACCCTGCAGGAAAAATACAAGAGATTCTTTGTGTTTCATTTCCACTTGTCGCTCAGCAAAGAAACAAATTGGTTCTGTTATTGGTGTGTGTGTGTGTGTTTAAAAGCCACAAAGAAAAGTGTTTTGAAAGCAGCCGCTCTTCAGGGCACACGAGGAAATCACTTTTTCCAACATAATTCAAAACAGTGAGAGCAGTGAAGGAAAGAAAGAAGAAGACTTTTCTCTTGGTTCTGAACAGAAACATCCCATAATATCCCTTTTTTTTCCATTTCTAAAAATAAAACACCAATCACTGCCCGTGGCCAAAGTCCAAATCTTTCAAACGAGCCAATCACATAAAGTTTTAATAGCTTTAAAAGTAAAAGTAAAAAAAAAAAAATTGAACTTTATCTGCCAGGAACTTGGTCGAAGTTTTTTATGTATTTTATTGCAGTACTTTATTATTAGTTCTACTTTGTACAAAGAGAATATCAAATATCGTTTATATTTAATGTTTTTTTTTTTGCCTTCAGAGTTTCAAACCATGGAGACGGACCAATCAGACATCAGCGCTGCACACCCAGCTCCAGGAGATGGCGTCAAACATCCCATCATGCATCACTAGCAATCAAAGCACCGCCATATTGGAAAGTACGATTCCTGCTACTGCCAACAGGTAATGTATAAGTTTATAGATGTATATATGTATGTATGTATATATGTATATATTTATATGTATATATAATGGTTTTTGTATTCAATGTTTTATGCCTTCAGAGTTTCAAACCATGGAGACGGACCAATCAGAAACCAGTGCTGCACACCCAGCTCCAGGAGATGGCGTCAAACATCCCATCATGCATCACTAGAAATCAAAGAATTTCCATATTGGAAAGTACGTTTCCTCTCACTGTCCACGGGTAATGTATAAGTGTGTGTACATATACATAAATATACATACATATATACTTATATGTATGCATATATGTATTTTCCAGGTCTTGGATGTACATGGAAGACTCTTTGTTCTGTCAAAGTTTGACCAGTTTCATCAACATATTGAAGTTGTTGATGAAACTGGTCAAACTTTGAATGAACAAAGAGTCTTCCATGTACATCCAAGACTGGGAATCAAACCCAGGTACTGAGGTACCACAGTCTGAGAGCACAACACCTGAGCTACAAGACCACATGGACTGTTTCATGTGAACTCATGTTTGACATCTGAAGGAAAGACTGATGTTTTAGTTGGAAAGAATTGGCCACAAGTGGTCAAACGTGCATGTGTTTTTAACGTTAACCAATAAATTCTTCATAAATACTGAAAAAACTTTGACCTTTTTTCCACTCCTCTGTCTACATGTCAGATATGGTTAGAAGTAAGAAAACACAACATCAGACGTCTAATCCCAAGGATTATTTCGCCATGGATTTGAAACACACTGATATATATCTATATAGTTTCTCAGTTGTTATTGGCTCTTAACTCTGAAGGTTCCTCTGTTTTTCTACATTGTCTGATCGTTTTTTTTTCTCTCTGTCTTCTTCAAGTTCACTTCCACTAAAACCCCCTACAACCCGGGCCACGCAACTTCCTCATCAACGAAGGCACGTCAGCAAGTAAAGGACGGGGGAGGCAACCATGTCATCAGTTACTTCAACCATTTCTCCCACAACTTTGGAGATGTTGACCATCATCCATGTGACAACTGCAGTGGACAAAACAGGAACTGCCCCGAGCCCTGGTACTGTGCCTAGAAGGTGGGACACAAGTTTCACTCAGCTCCAAGAACCTGTTGCACCAAACACACATTCGTGAGTGTGCTACTTCCTAAAACTAGACTTTGCCAGCTACTGCTCAATCCACGAACTCTGCCCCCTGTTGACCAAAAAGGACTGTTATCCATCATCGTCAATGATCAACACCCTCTCCATGACACAGTAGAGAGACAACGAGTGCCTTGTCCCACAGGTTGCTCCCACTCCGCTGTCCAATGGACAGATACAGGTAATGTTTCCTACCACATGGCATAACATCATACTATAAGAGATTCAACTCTGGTTATAACTGTAGTCTGTAACGACTTGATGTGATTTCCTAAAACTGTTTAGCTACGCATTATTATAGATTTAACATTGTATTTGTATTACTTTAATATGCCTAGATAGTGATACTTCATTTCACTGTCTTATTATCTCTTTGTGTAATGTTACTAATACAATGTAATTCCCAAGTCTGTGATGAATAAAACATATTAATCTATATTTCCGGCCCCAAAATTGTATTTGTGGGACTCGACAAATTAAGATTGATTTTTTTGGATTTTCCCAGGAACGTTGTATCTCGAAATGCTCTAATTTGATAAGAAACATGCTAACAAGCTAACATTTTAAAGAACATTTTTGAACATCTGTCCAAAATTGACAATTTGATAAAATGCATACAGAAAAGATAAAATTGTGATTTTCAGATTTTCAATACATTTTTACCACCTGTCCAACATTCTAAAAGAACAATGTCTAAACATTTTCTCTAAATGCCCTAATTTGATGAAAAACACGCAGGAAAAAAGACTAACTGTTCAGATTTTGACATAAAAGTATAACAAAAAAATTTCTAAAAATGTTCTCTAAAAGCCGTAAATTGATGAGAAACATGCAAGAAAAGATAATATTTTAAAAAATAATTTTATGTAATTTTTTTCAAACTTTTTCAACATTTTACCAAAGAATGACACTAAAAGTTCAGATTGTGACATAAAAGTATAACAAAACAATTTCTAAAAATGTTCACTAAATACCATAATTTGATGAGAAACATGCAAGAAAAGATAACATTTTTTAAAAATAATTTCATCTAAATTTTTTAAATATTCATAAAAAATAC